TTTTTTTCCTGAATTATTTTACTGAATATAGCGACCTTGAGGACTGTCAAACAGAAGTGTTTGGTATAAATTGTAATGGAGTTTAGGTTGATTAAAAATAACAAATAATTTGAAAAAAGCTCCTTGGTCTCCTTCATGTCTCAAGGTTAACTGAATTAAAGTATATGTGACACAGAGACCTCACTCATCTTGGCTAAGAAAAACAGACCTTCTGTACTTCTCCTTAACATAATTGTCTGTGAATTCAATCTTGAAGCATACAGTAGACTGCAAATCATGTGACTCTACTTTTTTTTTTTTTTTACATGTAAGTGTTGCGAGAGCTGAATGAACACACAGTGAATACAGACTCTCCTTCTCCATAAAGAAAGCCAGAACTTTTATCAGCTGCCAGTGCCACGTCCTTTATATTCCCAGTTTGGTTTATGTACAAACACAGTCAGTTATCTTTAAAAGTTGTTTGTTGTTCAGTTGCTGGAGCTGTTTATTGCCACTAATAAGCATAACTTCAGTTGTCTTTGTGCTAATGGCCAGCTTCTGTGTTTTTTAGGGAAACGGTGACGAGGAATCTGTAAAAAGCGTTCTGACATCCCCCGAGAATCGCATCCTCGTCAAGCGGATGCTGATTAAGTGTGCAGACATCTCCAATCCATGCAGGCCTCAGGAGCTCTGTATAGAATGGGCCGGACGCATCTCAGAGGAGTATTTTGCACAGGTAATTAGAAAAAAGAACATGGTGTTAATGGTGTGGGGAGATTGATCCAGCAGCTGCAGTGTGTTTTTGCTGTAATATATGTATTTGTGCTGTCATTCGTGTACAGACGGACGAAGAGAAGAGACAAGGTCTACCAGTGGTTATGCCTGTGTTTGACAGAAACACGTGTAGCATCCCAAAGTCCCAGATTTCCTTCATAGACTACTTCATTACGGACATGTTTGATGCATGGGATGGTAAGACTGCACAGCACGATGCAAACACTACAGATATATACACTGCATTAAATCTGAATTCGCAACTGAACACTGCTGCTGTCTGGATTTGACAGTAGATAAAAAAACAGAAATTACTATATTCAGTTAACTATACACTAAACCTCCTAAATGTTAAACACTAGACCTTTAAAGTGTAATCATATTTGTTTTAAATACTTTTATACCTACATTTGTACTAAGTCTTAGGGCTGAACTGATTCGATACACTGGATCAGTACCAGTGCAGATACTGATCTTATGAAGCGGATCAGGTGTTGACCGGGATGTGACCAAGCCATATTAGATACAGTTTCTTTGTCTGTGTCATTATAAAATTCAGTGTTTCCATTATCAGTTACATTCATTAAGTCACTGTGGGCCACAAACTCAGTGGCAGTCACAGCAATCCCTAGCCTTGTTTTACCTTACATAAAAATAAATCCATTGATGTACGCATAGAGAGATATACAATTTGGGAAAAACACTGGTATCTGGATTTGGAATCGGTACTTGGTATTGGCAGATATCCTGAGTTGAGGATTAAGAATCGGTACCAGGAGAGAAAAAGTTGGATTGGTGTATTCCTACTAATTTATTTATAAAAATGTAATAATAAGATAGCGGTGTTAATTAAAATAAAAAAAGAAACATTAAAAACAAACTGATATTAAGCTTTTGTTGCATCTCCAGCTTTTGCAGACCTCCCCAATCTTATGCAGCACTTGGACAACAACTTCAAGTACTGGAAAGGCCTTGATGAGAGGAAGCTGCACAGCCTGCGACCACCTCCAGAGTAGGCTCTGCAGTGTCCAACCCCCCAGGACTCTGCAGTCTGGGGCAGCCCTTCTCTCTCGTGCTGGGGCGTCTCTCTCCCTGCCAGCCAAAGGGCCTCCTCGCCTTCACTCTCCTGCTTCTGTAGCACGCCGAGCGTCCACATGTCCGTCCATACAGAAACCACAGAAGGACTTCCTGACAGGCAGTTGCAGCGGGGACATTGCTGGCTTTACAACCCTGTCAGATGAGAACTGTGACAAACAGACACGGACACACAGCATCCTTATGAACTTCTCGTGCCTCTCAGGCATTCGCAGTGTAGCTGGTCAAGTGACATGACTGAGAGAGGGTCCTTACAGGTCTCCTGGCAAAGCATCCGTCCCCTAATTACCACGGTGGCTCTCTTGTCTGCCTGTGAAGTTGTTGCTTAAGTAAAAACTGCTTGTTTACTGAAGGAGCGAGCAACACTGGAGGAGTAGATGGAATTGTGGTCTGGATATAAAGGTGTCCAAACACCGTCAGGCCATACAATCACCTTTGACCTCCATCCCTTCGCTCGCAGCAAGGCAGGACTGCTCCCTCTGCCGCTGGAGGCCACACCATGAAAGAACACTCCACTGCTTTTTTTTTTTGGGGGGGGGGCAATATACTCATGTGTCCTTCAGAAACACATCCAAGTTGACACGTAGCGGTCATAATAGACATGTGGGAGGGGATGCTTTCTTTTTGGGTCAGGGAGTGGATCTTTACTTTAGGCCACTGCTGAGAGACAGAAACCTCAACATCATGATCATAGGTAACTAATTACAGATGATTTGGTATGTTAATTTTTCTTAGATGTTCCTTATTTTCTATATTAAAATTCATAAATGAATTAGTTGATAAATAAGAACAAACTGAATTTCAAAAAGAGAGAGAAAAGCCAAAGCTGATGAAGATAAATACTACTATAACTCTCAAAAAATCACAATTATTATTCATATGAAGCATTACCATATTAAACATTTTTATTTTCTTATCAAAAGTACAGTACCAGTTTGAATGAACACTTTTGTATTGCACTGTAAACAATATTAGAAATGTCTACGTCTCAGTGATTTGTCCAGGGATGGGATGTTGCATTGTAGAATAAGCTGTTCTTGTTGATCATCAGGAGTTTGTATGTATGTGTGAGTGAGTGTGTGAGTGTGTATGCGTGTGTGTGTGTATGCGTGTGTGTGTGTTTGGATTGTAGGTGTGGGTGCGTGGGTGTATTCATTGTGCAACAATCCCTTACTCTTGGTTTAATGCTGTAAACCGCTTGACATTTGACAACAGCAGAAATATGTGAAAACATTTTGGACTTGAAAATTTTTTCTCCCAGAAATTTTTGTATCTGGTTTATCCTACTGAAAAGACTGCCTTATTTTATACAATATTTATACAGTACATCCCACTGTGCAACTGCAACGGACATCTGGAGTTTTTATTATAACATAGTCAGAAGGTTATGTTCAAGTAAATCTCAATATTTTTATAGACAATGAATTTTACACTGGATTTGCAGCAAATGAGATCAACCATTATAGCTATCTGAATACCTGTGAATTGGATGATCATGTAGAGCATGTATACAGAGAACTAAATGGTTAAGAAGGATGTGGATCGCAGAGTTGTCTATCACTGTCTTTAAGCAGTCTCCTAGAGGCCAGCTTGCATTGATTTTTGATCAAACACCATTCTATTTTGGCCACTTGTCCAACATCCTTATGCACAGACCCAGGGAACAGCTTTTTGTTCGAGGCTGGTTTCAGATTAGGATACTAATATATGTTAAAGATTGTTGCTTATTAAGAATATTTCCTCTTTAAACAGTATATAAATGCCATAACAGCTAAGCAAATGATGGTTAATAAGATGTATTGACCATGGTTATCTTTGTTTCTCTCTTATGACAGAATTGTACACTCAATCAGGGGATTTGTTTGTTCCTTCTGATTCACATCTTGGTCTGAAGGCACGGAAAAAAAATTAGAAACTATTCAATGAAAAATAAAATAATGTCAATTATAAGTTTGCAGTCTATTTCCTGCAACGATTCAATGTCTGTCTCTTATGTCTTTCTCTGTCTTTTTTCACTCATTATTAAATATTTGCACTGAGTCTGTCTAGCTATCTAACTACCTCTTTAGGTTACTTGTTTTATTTTGAACTATCTTCCTTTTTTAGAGCGAAATCTAGATAAGATTGATTAAATATAAGGTTTTCAGTTTTTTGAATGGGGGCAAAAGATCTCTAACTACATGGTGGCTGGCCGAGAGCCTGGCTTGGACATCTACTGTGTCGGACAAAACAAAGCAAAATGAAACTAATTCTGTACATCACCCAGATGGCACACTATACAAAACTGCTCTTCGTCTTCCAGAGCAGCTTACTGTCCAATTTGAACACAATAACAGACCTCAACAAGTAGTAGGAACAGCCTCCTCTCCCCCAGGTCACTCATCATTTATCCTTTATAAAACTTTAACAGTAAAACTTAACAGACTGCTGCTTACATTAGCCAATAGCCACCATAATCAACTGGTCACACCAGACCAAGTAAGGTTGTAGCAGCAAAACCCCTGAATGTATTGAATTTATGAAGGGTGTGTTTTATGGCTTTTCATTTGTGATGGGAAGAATGTGTTATTTCTTCTTTACAACGTTACATATTCTTGCTTTAAGGTTTGGTTAAGTTTAGAGCTGCTATGATTGGTCAATCAATAAGTTGTCAACTATTAAATTAATTGCCAACTATTTTGATAATAGCAATTGTTTTGAGTGATTTTTGTTTCCAAAAAAAATATCCAAATTCCATGATTTCATTTTTTAAATGTGAATATTTTTTGGTTTATTTAGTCCTCCATGACATGGAAAGTGAATATTCTTGTGTTGTGGACAACACAAGACATTTAAGGATGAAATCTAGGCAGCCCTCGGTTTAAGCACAAAAAAGGGGGTTAGGGAAAGATCATGGTTTGGTTAAATAACTACTTTGTGGCCATGGTTAAAAGAAGACAGTATTGGTTGTTGGTAGGATCTCCCGTGTCTAAATTACTTTCTTGACCCATTTATCCACCACAACCTCCTCACCTCAAGGTTTTGCGATGCTAAAGATGTCATTCAACTTCCACCTTTGTTACTGGCAAACGAGTCAATAATGCACAAAGCTGCTGGAGTTCCATGTCAGCTAAACATAAACATAGGTTTCAACAAACAACAAATACTTTAAGTTTTATTATGAGGACAGTCTCTTTCCTCTTTATTATGTTTCTATTTTTAAATTACATTACATTGTTACAAAAGATAAATGTTCTAGTCTGGTTTGTGTAGAAAGGTTCATTTATTATGCACACTCCATGTCATGGTGTTGTCTACTTTGTACTCTGTGTAACAATTTTTGGGGCTAAATACATTTCTGCACTATAATAAATGTTCTTTTTCTAAGCAAAGCACATTTTAGCCACATTTTGTAAAGTCAGGTCACATTGAATGTCTTGATAAAGATTTGTGGAATGGAAAAACAAAACAGGGACAAAAATAGAAACAAGTCCAGGATTATGGTGCAGGCATACTATCCATGACAAAGTCTATAATGTTGTATTTTATAAATATATTAGAATATTGTCAAGAAATCAAATCAAACCAAAAAGTGGAACATAGACTGGAGCTGGAGCCGACTGAAGATTTGCACAGAAACAGAAATTTCATCTGTTGTGTGGTCTTCAGTTGAAGTGAATGTAAGACGGAGCAAATACTGTAATCTAACGTGATGGTACCTTTAACAGGGGGCCAGCTACTCTTTCTTTTGCCCCAAGGCCCCCTATAGCTTTTTAATTTGGCCATGCTCACACTCATGAAAATTGGGTCCTTAAAGCTGCAGTAGGTAACTTTTAGAAAAATAACTTTTTTGTCATATTTGCTAGAACGTCCTAACAGTAGTACATGAGACAGATAATCCGTGAAAAGATCAGGTTCCTCTGGCTCGTTCTAGCGCTCCTAATAGCGTTTGCAAGAATCCACCGGGCCTGAACAAAAACAATCAATCAGAGCAACAAGAAAGATATAAAGACGCTTTAAAGCTTGAAGATAGTTGAGACTAATTCCCAGGGCCCCATGGTGTCTGTATTTGACACCCTGGGAATGAGACTCAACAATCAACTATGGTTTTTGGCTCTGATAGGTTGTTTTCGTCCAGGCCCGGTGGTTTCTCACAAACGCCATTCAGTGCAATAAAACAACCCATTTTTTCACAGATTATCTTTCTCATGTGCTACTGT